AAAAAAAAAAAAAAAGAAATCCAATGGCTTTCTCAGCTTACAAAATATAAGGGGCATGGGAATCCATAGCAACATGTGCACACACACAGACACACACAGACACACACAGACACACACACAGACACACACACAAATATATAGATAGGTTGAACTGGATGGAACTGTGTATTTTATCAACCTTACCAAATATGTAACTATACAGAGGTTTTAACCATTGTTCACTCTATTCAAAATAAAACAGTGTTGACTTGAGTTGGTATGTTTAAATTAGGTATTCTTCATCACTTTAACCTGCATATAATAACTGAGGCCTGTTTAAAGTCTTGACCCTTGCCTAAAATCAGCTATTCTGGAACAGAATGGGTTTTGGAAGAGGCTATCAGGGGTATTATGGAGCTAAACAGCTATCCATGACATCTTTTTCCCTAATAACCAAAACATCTAAGCAGGACTGTTTTTTTTTTCATTTAAAACTATCCCAGGTTCTTTAACAAAATTAAAGAACTTCAGTATAACACTACCCATGGAGAAAAACATTTACACCAAGAAACAGTATATCTGGAAATCTTGTTCCAGTACTGAAATAGATTGCTTTCCTATACTTACACTCTTACTGACACTCTTTTATCTGCAGCCTTACAATAACACATCTTGAGAAAATTCCTTTTGTCCTTAAGTATTTTCATCAATAGCACAAACATTTAGTTCTGTGTAGTATAATAGATTAGTCATTCTAGGAGCAGAGGGCTCAGACAAAATATTTCCAAGCAAATTATTCTATCTATCTATCTATAGAATAATTTGCTTGGAAATATTTTGTCTGAGCCAATTGATTTCCTAGAATGACTAATCTATTATACTACACATAACTCCATTGGAAAACTTACTTGTTAGCCAATGTATGACAACACATCTAGAATTACTCACCCAGTAGAGCAGGAGCAGACATACAAACTGTATCATGGCATATAGGGTGACATATTTGAAGACAGCAAATGAACTCACAAGAGCTGCTCGACCTTCCCTTTACAATTAGAAATGAACATAAGTTATGTCAGAAGTTTGTTCCTCTTTGTAAGTAATATCTTGTGTGAACTCAGAAAGTGGTCAATTAGGCGGTCAAGGTTTAAACAATACCAAAATAAGAAGAAATCAATTAGGTGCTTCGACCCTGCTTACAGAAAGCTTGCCACCCCCCACTATATCTTTAAACATGATTATTATGAATTAATTTCAGTTCATTTTAAAATTCCCTGTTTGCTTAGGACTCTTCTGTGTAGAAAGAAAGAATGGATTTCCTTCCCTAGTTGACATGGATTCTTGGGAGCCAGTGCAACTAGCAAAATCAGGTTTTGCTGCATAACCAATTGCAATTTATATTGTCTAAGTAATTTATGTGAACGGAAGGCATCTTTCAAGAGGAGCTTTTGGGTCCTGGATAATAGTTTTCACTGGGATAGGGAGGAATATGCCCCACCGTTTCTTTTAATCATAGCTCAGCATATTTTCACAACTTCCAAAGTAGTTGAAAGTGATTTTAAGTCACTATTCATTTTCAAAGAATCTATTATTTTACTATTTACTATTGTGTAACAAGTATGTATTACTGCAACAAGTAGTTTATCCACCTTTGCATGTGGAACAAGCTGTCTACCTAATGTAACAGTCCCTATGGCTGAGACAACCTGCAGCACTTGCTGGCTGCTTGGGTTGTAGCTATTTGGCTTTCACAAAAAGAAAATGTAGACTATTTGAATAAAAGGTGACAGGTAATAGCACCCCTGACAGCAATAGAGCATGTCAGAATACATGTGTGTAGAATGCAACTAAAATTACAAATGCTAAACATTTGTGCACTAGTTGTCATTTAAGTTAAAAAAAATGTCAAGCCAAAAACCTTTTGTGTCATTTTTGATAGATTGCTGAAGGATTAGGAACACTGTCAGACCTTGACTGCTATCAGTCACTTCCTGCCCAAGGGTCTACTAGACAGAAAGTAAGAGTAAATCTGCAAAAGGGACAAAGAAAAAACAATATGATGGGGGTTCCAGTCTGTACTGTACTAAAAAAAAGATATTTTATATTAGCCTGTGTTGCTGTCGGAGATGTTCCCTTACTTCCTGTCTGGTAAAATGTTGTCAGCAGGACAGTAAGTGAGGAAAAATCTCTCAAATGCCAACCCAGATAGCAGTACAAGCTAAGCATAAGTTCTAATCCTCCCCCACTCTATCCAAAACTAAAAATAATGAGGGGCACCCAACAATTTCCCCACTATATGCTTCCATTGGCTGCCCTCAACCCTAACTTTCTTTACATTCTCTTTATCTTTCTTTACATTCTTACAATATTACAAGTCACTAATTTTTGCAAATTACATTTAACAACTTATCGGGAAAAAAAGTGTCTTTACAAAACAAAATGATGAAACAACAATACTTACTTAATAAGCTCAGGGACACATTGAATATTAGTTATTTGTGATGTAAATGGAGAAGCAACAGAAGCCTCTTGTTCAGACAGGGATATACCAGCATGTGCTACTTTTAAAGCCTAAAATGTAAAAGAATATAGATGACAGTCACAATTTGTTAAGATTATGTTAAGATTTAGCATACATCCGGGTTCAGTAACTAAGCAGAAAAATCTTGCTGTTGTAATTTCTAGACTCCATATTGATCTCAAATATTACTTTTGGAATTTTCTGGATCTTTATTATCTTTGCATTATCATTGATCCATAAATAAATGCATGATATACTGTGACAATACTCATTTTACAAAAGTGTTCACTTGACATTTGAGAATTTGGTTGTACACCTAAATATCTATACTACTTATAAGTGTTAGTATGCATCTAGTGTAAATATAAAAAAATGACAAACATACATTTTAATATTTGCATACTTACTCCACAATCATTGGCTCCATCTCCACACATAGCAACATAGTAACTGCGAAAAATAAAATAAAATAGTTGCTAGTTAATAGTGAATGGGGTGTACTAGAAACGTAACCACTCTACAAGATTACATATTTTGTCTCTCATTTGGTTCCCACCCCATTTGCTGCTTCCTATTAAAATATCAATGTAAGAATCTTGAAATACCTAATTATGAGCTTCAGCAGGCTCTCTCCAGATTCAAACAGCTCACTACTTCACTGGCATTTCTATGTCTATTTGAACAAGAGTTGCAGACTTGCTGCCTATGCCTGAGCAACCAATCAGTGCCTCTGTACCATCCCTGGCTGTAACTAGACCAGTTGGACTTTGAAAGAACAGTCTCCAGCTATTGGGCATTTGAAGATCAATCTTTCAAATGTTAGATGCAACGTAAAAGGTGGTGAAGGACACCTAAAGTAATTTCTTTATTAGTCAGAAAAATTGAATTCTATTCCTAATGTGCCATCATCCTGCTACATCATAGCAATGCAAGGATTTTAGCAAATCCAAACATTTCTTTAATTGGCTTAGTTTAAAAAAATGTATACCATTTAATTTCTACACAGTTAAACATACAAAGCAAGCATCCAACAACTGTTTTCATGTCCACAAAATAATAGAATGGAACTTACTCCATTTTCTGAAATTCTTCAATGAGATCAGATTTTTGTCCAGGGGACATCCTTGCAAAAATGGCACCATTCAGTAAGAGCTGTTTTGAAATTAAATAGTTGACATTAACTGTTAATATTGTGAATATATAACTCTTTAACAAATCAATAACAAGGTTAGTTTTATACTTTTCCATCTAAACAGGCCACATTATTGGTACACATATATTTGTATACAGAAAAGCATGAAGGTCATAATGAATAATACCTTTGGCAGTAGGCTGTAGAAATATTGTACTATGACTTGATAAGCTTTCCCGGTCATGGCAAAACAGTAGTTGATCTTTTCAATGTCAATTTCCTGGCACTAAAATGTGAGAAAATGTTTAATGTAATTGACAGCAATGTCAAGTACTCAAGTTGAGTTATATAGATTATACAATATCTGTCTTGTTTTATTATTGCTTTGTTTTGTTTCTTGCTACAAAGATGCTGAGATGCCCCAAGTAAACAGATAGTGGGGTGATTTACCAATGATGTAAAGGCTGTTCACTTAGCAAAGTTAATGTTACTGAAGAATGTGAAGTTGTGTTAACATTACATACCCAGTCATGTTCTGAAAATAATACCCCTTTTTTAATTTCCCTCACGCATTATTGAGTATTTAAAGACATAACAAGCTAGGGGCTGACTAAGCCTGTCCAATTATTTTTGGAGTGAACTGACCCTTTACAGTCAAGATGAGTTTCACACCAGTTCATCAAAGCTGTCTATTGTACATAACTATTTATGACCCTAGTATAAAATATAGAATAATTGTAAACTCGTTCAAGGATAAGTGGATGCTACAACATGGGTCATGAGTTACAGCATTGTTTCTGTATCACTAATCTAAGGCCCACTAGAACGCCACAAGAGGTGAACAAACTAAATCACATGACTCCAGATTTGTTTAGTAATTTCCATAGATGTCTATTACTGTATGCTGATTATCTACACTCATCGATCTACTGCTGCCATTATTCACAAACATATTTGCATATATTTGTATCACTAATACAAAGGCAGTTAATTTCCATCTCTGCTTGAAAACGCCTAACATGTAGTTCTATTTTTGTATTAGATACAACACAAAAGGGGGAAAAAAAGGGTTTGTGGAGAGATAGATACAACCATTGCTTGTATAAAAATTGTATCAAGGTTTATTAGACATACAGTAAATTGTGAATAAATATGATAAAATTGGATCTCATATATTAATTATACATACACATAAATATATGCCCATTCGGTACAATCTCCGGCCAATAGCCTATATGTTTATATATGTACACATACAATAAAATGCATAATAATCAAAAATAATTAATCCAATTGCATAGCTAACATGATTAACCCAAGGGTCTTCAGTGTTCCATATTCAAGTGCATAGCTGACATGATTGTCCTAATACTCCCAACGAGTTTCGCAATTACAGCTTCTTCAGGGGATCGGTAATTAGTGGTCATGCATAGGCAGTGCCTGAGATAAAACCAATTGTGAGGAGGATCGAGATACTTGGGTGGCTGGGAGATATTTGGGTGGCCTGAGATAAAACCAATTGTGAGGAGGATCGAGATACTTGGGTGGCTGGGAGAACAGCCACCCAAGTATCTCGATCCTCCTCACAATTGGTTTTATCTCAGGCACTGCCTATGCATGACCACTAATTACCGATCCCCTGAAGAAGCTGTAATTGCGAAATTAACCTGTATTAACCTGACACTGCCCATTATCAAATAAATTGTAATTTGCTGCCTTAGTAAGCCAGACACATCCCAAACACAGATTTAATATGTTGCAACATATTACAAAACAAATGCTTCTTGTATCTGCCCTGAGGCTTAGCAGATATTAGGAAATCACCATGTAAAAGTAATATAAAAACTATGTGATGATTAAAAGTCATAGACTTTTATGTGTATAATATAGCAGCTTTGCTGTTCTATCATTTATTTTATATATTTCTTGCAGCATTGTCAACCTGTGGAAAAGTTAATGTTAGATGCACTAATAGATTTAGAAGGACTTGACTATCAAATTAAAGCCAAACTCCAGTTAACACTTTTTAAGCAGTTACTCCAACAGTGTTTTGTTTTTTTCCTTTTAGGATAAAGGTTTTTACATAAATGAAAATAAGGGAAATAATCTTTAAAAAAAAAGAAAACTAATGTAGGCAACACCTTAAAGGATTGGTAAGCTTTTGCTTTGGGTTTAGATATGATTTAGGTAGAAATGTAAAAATAACTCACTGTTATTTCAGTGCTTTCGCCATTACAACCTTCCATTTGTTTCCATGTAATGGAGGCAGGAGAGTCTTTTATTGGCTCACATGCATCAACTAGAATAACCTTAACTTTGTTTTGCACAATGCCAGAATTTCGTGCTACAGTTATTGCTGTTTGAAGATTATCACCTATGGCAAAAAAAAAATTACATTATTTGGTTTTAGGACATACTGACATACTTACAATAAAACTGGCTTCATAAAGGAAATCAGTGGAAAGAGAAAACACTGCATGCTAAATAATTTACCATAAAGGAACCATTCATATTTCAGTTTGCTAAGGTTAGATCAATAACAAAAATTGTTCATTATTGACTTCCAGCTGTAACCCAATTCTCACCCAAGTCTCTCTACGTGTGATGAAACCCCATCCAAATGTCTTGCCCTCCTTAAAACAGGAGATGGCACTACAGCTACTTTAGCAGTGTATGCTCTAGTGCAGGAGTAGTCAAACTTTGGTTCTCCAGCTTTACCGATACTAAAAATCCTATCATGCCTTTGGAAGCTATTCCTGTGGCTGTCAGAGTCTTGCAATAACTAATGGGATTTGTAGCTTCACCACAGCTGCAGGGTCAAAGTTTGGCTACCCCCAGCTCTGCAGCCTAAGTAAACTAGTAGTTGATGAAGTTTGAACAATATGTTAAAGTATAACTATGGCCTCCCATTAAAACAAGTCACACAAATACTTCTTCCTGTGATGGTGGGACAACACTGCTGCACTGGTCTTGATTCCAAAGCAGCATTGTTCCTCGTGTAGACTGTACCTGCTTGCACTACAGTGGGAAGAAAGAATTTTGCATGGTGCAGGGCAATCAACATTGTTTTTGCTTCTCCCGTCTCCCCTTTGATCTTGGCAGCCTTGCTGTCATGTTGCCCAGCTGCAGCCCTGACTCCTGGTGATCTGACACTTGCATGCAGCATTCTCCTCCCTTCTTGCCTCCTAATGGCCCTGTGTCTGCTAGAACCTGATTTAAGCCCAAATGCCCTTTGCCCAGTGCTTGGGAAAGGTTTACCAGTTGCCCTAGTAGCTGCCTTAGCCTGTATCTGATCTGCCTGCTTTGTAAACTGACCCTTGACTGTTAATTGATCACAACTTTGCCAGCTGCCCGCACTGACCCCTGCCTTTTATTGACCAATTCTTCTGCCTGCTGCCTGGATTGACCTCTTGCCTCTTTACTGACCATGCCTTTTCCCGCTGTCTGGACTGACCACTTACTTGTTTATTGGCCCCATCTCTGCCTGTCACTTGGACTGACTCCTTGTTTGTTCACTGAGCACATCTCTGCCTGCTGCCTGGACCAACCTCTTGCCTGATTATGGACCACATAATCTCCCTGCCTCCTGGGCCAACTTTCATCAGGTCCCCCTGACTACTCTCTTGCAAAGGCACTAGTCTCTGCCATCTTGTGCAGACATTTGTGTATCCCATTACCTTCAGCTCAGCCTCTTGTGCTACCTGCCCAGGGAATATAGTGCATTGTGTAATAAGTCATTGGGTCACGTAGGGTCTGCTTGACTTAAGGGAATGGGCAGGGGCGTATCTGCCACGAGGCAAACAAGGCGTTTGCCTCGGGCGGCAGATTCCTAGGGAGCGGCAAAAATGCCGGGGTCTCAATGTATCGGCCCGCTGGCCAGTTGCGGTCACGGACCGCATACCTGATTTGCGGAAGCAGCTACACGGTCTGCATCTCTGTCGGATGCAGACCATGTAGCTGAGTTTGCGCCGGCACTCGGATCCTTTCGCCCAACGCTCTTTCAGTGAACGCTGGCCGAAAGGATTGTGCAGGATCGATTGGGAAGGTCTGCAGCAGACCTCACCAATCGACCACCGGGACCGACGTGCCACCTCACAGCCTCCTCCCAGCAACAAGGTAAGCAGGAGAGGGGGGCCAAGGGCTCTAGATTGTATTTTAGGGGGCGTGGCACTGGTAGTTATATTAAATGTGTGTGGGGGGACACTGACTGGTGTTGTTTATATATATTACAACCCCAGTCAGTGTCCCCCCC